TTTTTCTTTTCTCTGATTTTAAATCAAATTATAATAAGATCTAGATAAGAAAAATCTATTTGATGTTTTGGTAAGACATTTGTCTCATTATTATAATTATTACAAAAAAGTAATTTTCTTTCCTTTTATTTTCTTGTTCAATGTGTTATTTTTATTATTATCTTTATAATTCTATTTTGTGCTTTATTTTTTTCTTATACGAGAAAGTTTTTTCTTTTATTTGAAAAATACTCACACAAGCTAAGATTTACTAATTTAGGTTAAGGAAAGAACAAAATATCAAAAGATGCACAAAGTGTGTCAACACTGAAAAGAGGCACAAAATGAGCCCAACCTGAAAAGATACGTGATATAAAATTTAAAATCAAAAGATGTGCCAAATAAAATTCAAAATCAAAAGATGTGTAATGATCGTCAAAATTTAAAAGAGGCATAAAATAAGCCCACACTACATCTAGTTCTTCCCTTTCTATATCTAATTCTTAAAAAGATATATATATATATATATATATATATTTAATAATAAATATTTTCAAGTCTTTTGGTTAATAGTCTTCTAGTTTGTATTTTTGTGTTTTATTTTTTATTTTTAGTTATATGTCAAATTATTCTCATGGGGAGGTTGTTTATGGTTATATTTATTTGAGGTTTTTCTTGTGGTTGGTGTCGTACTTGTTTGTTTTAGGGTCTTCTAGTGTTTGTATTTATTTTTCATCTATTTTGCTTTATAGTTTGTTTTGTGTTAGTCTATAAATATCATAATTAAAAAGAGGGACAAAATTTTATTTATCCTTATAGTCTTTATGGGTTGAAGTGATTTGAATCTGTTAATCTCAGCAAATTGTACAAAGGGTGGATGGATTTTGCTTTAAATGTTTGATGATCAATTTTGATTTTAAATATTTGGATTTGAATTTTTGGAGTTTTAGATTTCATGGATATTTGGCTAGTATTTCGAATATTTGGAATTAACCCCTCCGATTGAGATCTATGTTCAGCATGGCCATCATCAAGGTATTTTTTGGGCATTTCTATTTATTAGTTGAACCTTGTAGACTTTATATACTTGTCGATAGCGGAACGAGTTCAATGCAAGCTTTATGCCTTTATTAGTGAAGTTTTAGTATGAGCCTTGAAGGCTTAGTATGAACTATTAAAACAAATATTTTGGCCGATGCCGCAGCCCTAAATCTATTTAATTTTTTGAGTCGTGTCGAACCCTACCCCATCAAATAGAATGATTGGACTTGAACTTAAGTTAATATCTTGACCCGTGTAACATCCTCAGATATCACGTGTGTGAACACAACACATTCACTAGGGCCAATGCAAGTTTAAGATTGTACTTGCATTTTCTTGTACTTGTGTGTATATATATTATAGTGCATGTATGGGAATATTTTTTGCATGATGGATCTTCCACAGTAGCTCATAGAAGTACGTATTTGTTGCAATTCACTTCTGTATTTTTCTATAGGTGATATGTTGACTGCACAACGAGCCTTCTACAACGATGCGTAGACACTTGGATTTGTTGTACCTCATCTACCTCTGCCTATAGAGGACCAGTGTATTTAACTGATACTGAGTGATTGTTGATTATAGGGATGACTTAATATCCATTGCTTGTTATTTATTATCACCTATGGGTTGACTGATGCATGAATGGAGACTCCTACATTCTGTTGGGAATGCTCGCATTCATGATATGCATTACCTTATGTGCTTGCAATAAGCTTCATTGTTCGCAGGTGGATAGGTATATTCATTGAGCTAAGCGTCGTTAATTGCATGGGATATTACATTTGCTTTGAACTTTTCCAACACATCTTAGTCGATAGTTCATTATATGTTGATATTGGACACTCGGTGTAGTTGCATTTATTATCAGTCTCCTCATATACGTCGATCAGCGAGTTGCTGCATTAGCTCGCATGTATTTCAATGTTCGTGGGGACTATTACAAGCGCTTGTATGTTGACCAGTGTTGATTATCGAACACTACAATATTCACTGTCTACCAGTGATCATCACTTGCAAATATGTTATTGCGTTTGTGAGGGTCTTTTGGCTTCATCATATACATTGATTGACAAATAAATACCTTATGCATCAACCTTCAAAGTTCATGGGTATCAATATTCTTTGTCCATATGTTAATCAACATCTGTCATAAGAGTGCCACTACGTTTATTACATGTACGATAAATCTCTAATCATCGTTAGTGGACATTCATACTTATCCATAATTCTTCTTGTGCTTGACTGTGGAGAGTGTACTATGATTCTTCCATAGTCACTTGCAAGCAAATTGTAGTATCTTCAATCATTCATAACATTTGTTAGTGTTCTCCAATGTATGTAGTAGAGACTACTACATCTTGTTGTAAAAATATTGTGCAGACTATCATCAACTTCAACTTTCTTATTTACAAGGTAATGTTGCAAATCAGCTTCTTTATTTGCTAATTCCCCTTCATACCTTTCTCACGAATGTGCTATATCATTCGTCATGTGATGCTTATGTATGCTTGTTGGGAAATATGTATTTTCACATGCAGTTAAGTAGCATCGATAGCAAAGAGGGACTATTTTCATTTCAACCACATCATTTTATTTGTAGACATGTTATATCTTTTGCACGTCATTTGTCATTGCTTGCCAATGAGTTGTGCTTGTAGGAGTTTGGTATATCAGCATATATTTGTAAACTTCTCTATTTTACCTCTTCTTTATTTGTCACATTCATATCGATTGTTACTTGTGGACAAAATAACAAATCATGATTACTAAGACTTTAGTATAAGTTTTTTCATTCATTCATTGATCTTTATTTGCACAATCAAATTCATTGATTAACACCTATATTTTTAAGGTGATTATTCATTCATTAAGTTAAAGTTTGATTCTTCGTTGTGCAAATTCAATTCTTCTACATTGTGTTCAAGTTCAAGTTCAAATTATTTGAGTCCAATTCGTCGTCATTCAATGTGCAAATTACATGTTGCCCAAATCAAGTCTCTAGTTAATTTATTCAAGTATTGTGTATTTTTAGACCAAATTTCAGTAGCCTCCCAGCGTCTCCCCCATTTAGGAAAAATTTTAGGAGTCTTAATATGCCCGTCACATTAAGAAAGACGTGCACGATCAGTGTCTGGTGACACCACGTCCGTGCTCTTCAACCCCACCACTCCAAGAAAGGCGTGTATGGGTCTTCGAGGGAACCAGTTTGAAAATGCAATTGTTTCCACAACAGCACTGAGGCGCTTACAAGTACTTATACTTTATCCTATTGTGCTATGAAAAGAGCGCACGAGACTCACCGACCTCGCCGCAAGCGTCGCGAGAAACTTCCTCCCACCATGCTAAGAAAATCATGCATGCGAGGTTGCTCGTCAGACTGTAAGTGTCAAAAAGATGACTTTGGATGATTTTGAGTTGAGGGATTATACCTTCACGATGGTGTGTAACGACAGCAAATAAAAATGCACAAAATACACATTTCTTGTAAAATCCCTTCTCTCATTTTTTTATCATCATTTTTTTCAAAACCTCCTTCTTTCTTCTTTTTTTAAAGGTTAATCTCCAATCATTTTTGTCATTTTCATTATTTTTGCAAACAATTGATATTCCCAACACTTATTAATACGATTAGTAGCAATAAAATATAACAAAGACATTCTTAACACAAAGGTAAAGTTCGTTTTATAATCAAATGCCGTTAAGATAGTGTCGCGTGTTAATTTCCTCAATTTGCTCGTCATTTCCTCGAGACCATCGTCGATCTCACTGCACGATTTGAATTGAACAAATTTGCAATCAATTTTTAGTATCGATGACGTTTTGAATGCAACAGCGAAATTTGTTTTATGGCCAAACGTCGTTTGAGCAACATCACATGACAATTTCATCGAATTGTGTGTTTTGCCTCAAGATGTGTGTCGATCCTCATGCATGGCATTGATTGATTAAATTGACTGTCATTGGGTATTGACGACGTCCCGAACGCAACGACAAAATTTATTTTACGATTGGACGATATTTTGGTGACATCGCTCGCTAATTTTCTGGATTTGCTCGTCATTGTCTCGGGGTTAGTGTCATCGCCTCAAACAACCCCAATTGAATAAGTTGACATTGATTTTTGGGTGTTGACGATGCTCCGGTCACAATAGCAAAATCCATTTTGTCATCAGATGTCATTTGGACAATGTGGCACATCAATTTCGGGTGTCAGTCATCCTTTTAAACCAATTTGATTGCGAGAGGTTCCCACTTAGGCGAACTCGACGCCCTGATTGCAACGACATAATCCATTTGACAATCGGAGGTCGTTTGACCTTTCATTGTGTCGCATCGACGCACGCGTCATTTGATTTGCCGGTTTTGTTTGATGCATTGGGGTCTATAGAATCTTAATTCAAAACTTAGCTAGACAAAAAAGAAATTTGATGATAGTATTGTATTTAATAAATCATATTCACCCAAATGTATCCATCGACATTCACAACGTCTACCCTACAAATTAAAATCACCCAAATGTATCCATCGTCATTCACAACATCTATCATACAAAATATAATCAGGAGACATCGATATGAAAATTGCTAATCATTACTATAAACACATCCAAAAGAGGAAAGATGAGAACAATTGTCTCTTTGATTGGTATCCAACTCTCTCTCTCTCTCTCTCTCTCTCTCTCTCTCTCTCTCTCTCTCTCTCTCTAAGCAATTAATTAGATAAGATGCTAACTAAATTCCGCAAAACTATGTATGTTAGCTTTTGAAAGTTATGAAAGCTGGCTAATCAATCATGAATGAAATTTCATTTGAAAGCTGGCAAATCAAATGGAATTTGCTAACCAATAGTTAAATTGGCTTGGCTTGTTAAATGAATAACTCAGAAGTTCTATTATATTTGGCACATTAATTTATCAAGTTGAACACGAATTATTTACAAACATAATATATCCTTAGGACTCGGAGTAATAAATAAAATTTAGAATATATGTCACGACATAAATATAAATAAATATTTTATCTATAAATACACATAATAGAGCTACTACAGAACAAAACACAATTAAACAAGCTTACTTGTTTTTAGCTCGCCCAATAAATAAATATATAAAAATTAGTCAAAAATAAACTAATTATAGAGCCAAACACAACCAGATATAAACAGCTAATTTATTTAACATCCCTAATAAGGAATATATACCTAATATATTTTCGTACATGCATCTTGATTTTGGTCACTTTTGAGTCTCTTTCATTATGGACTAATGCATTCTGTATTCTTTTTGACTGAGATGTCTCCTTACCTGCATGCAGTAGGAAGAAGGATTCAGAATGAAATTTCATTTGATGTGTAAAGTAGATCACACTTTAAAAGATTGTATTACATGTAAGATAACTCAGAGAACAATATCCAAAAATGGAATAACACCAACATATATATTTGCATATTGCATCAGAATAATGGAAAACAGTTCAACTGTGTAGTATCACAATATGTTATTCTGCTCAGCCTGCATTACAGGATCTTGTCGGTACATTAGGTCCTAATTTTGTAGGGCAAAAATCGTGCATTGGTTTGGATTTACATCATGAAAATTTTGGGATGCAAAAAAAAAATAGTATTCTTTTGTTAGATATGCCTTCAAACACAGTAGGGAAAGAAGAGGGACAGATAAATAAAGCATCGCTGAGCTTGCTTGTCGCTTTTGGGTGTGTTCGAGAAAAATAGGAGAGAAGAATGAAGACCTACCCAGCGTAATCAAAAAATGTAAATACATGCGAGACCTGTAAGAAGTGTTGTTATTAAAACAGACACAGCATTCACCGCATTGTTGTCAAGAACTTCCATTCCTGAAATTCTGATTACAGTAGGTGTTTTTCTTCCAACCACCTTCAAAGAACAAGAAACAAGTTTCAGCTATCACAAATGAGAATATAAAAGAGCTTTTATTACCGCTTTTCTTTGCAAGCATAGCAATCACTTTCTTTCAAGCAACCTAACACAACCGATTCAGCCTAGAAGATGGGTCATCACTTTAAAATGCTGTCTTCAAAAACTTTCTTAATTTCTTTCCTTTGCTTAATTGATGAACTAGTTCGTTGATTGATGGAAAATCTCAAATTCACAAAAATAGAATAATACTGTTAAAAAGGATAGATTGAAAATGGTATAATTACTTTCTTCCGCAAAGTGCAAAATCCACTAAATTGGAGCGTTGCACCCAATATAGAATCAATTAGGCTTCCGCAAAGCCCAGCAATTGCAGCAATAGGAACTGCAAGCAGCTCTCTCCGCACAACATGAGTACCACATGAAACTGAGAGCCAACCGACCAATACAAAAGTCGATCCTATAACTAAGCCAGCTGCGGCAGCTGCTAGAAGGCCTTCTACAGAAACTGCGCCATTGGTGCCCTTTCGAACTTTCTGATCATGTAAAATATAGATGATTAGTGTTCATTCTTCTTATTACCGTTCTACCAAATACACAAAATACAAAATGAATTACTGGAATGCAAACAATTTGACAGATTACATCTGAAAAGAGATCAGTAGATTCAGGTGGAATTAACATCAAGATAATTTGCAGAAATATGTTCTCCCTCACTAATTAACATGAAAGGTACAATGATAAGGACTGGAGAAAATATATAATGGCTAGCTGTTAAAAAGAAGTGCAAACTAGAGATAAAGCAAAAAACACTCAACAGCAATGAGAGTAAGGATCCATCCAGCTAATTCTTACGGGATGATAGACATTTTCCCTTACTAAAAGCTACTCTGACATGAGCTTTTGATGATTATTTATATGTCAAACCCATGCTTTGAATTTTTACTTTTTTTTTTTAAGAGATGAAATATGTCCCATATACTTTATAAAGGAGCACATCAACTATAAAATTTAAAAAAGAATCAAAAAGGGACAAACCCTTGATACAAGGGCCAAAAAAACATAATCCCATGATATTTTTTCTAAAAAATGAACAAATGTGCTATAGTAGGGATTGAACCTATGATCTCATGGGTGGGTGTTGGTATATGAACAAATAAGCCAAAGCCTAGTTCGTATGCTTCATATTTTCATGTGATATAAGATGTATCGAAGGCTAAGTCTTTTTAATGAGTCGTAATGCAATGAAATGAGATGCATTTTAAATATAGATATGTTTTGCAACTTTTTATGCATATTCTAACGAATATGCATTACTATTACACCCAACAGGAGAAAAAAAAATGCATGAAATATTTATAACAAAACCAACTATTATAGATAATTATTTTATTAACAATAATGAACAATAGCAGCAGCATCAACAACAACAACAAGCCTTTATCCCACTACATAGGGTTGGTTATATGAATCTTTTCTCCATTGTGTCCTATTAAGAGGCAAATTCTCATTTGAATCTAATAAAATTAAGACCATTTTTAATACTTTCTCACAAAGTCCTTTTAGATCTATTTCGACATTTTTTAATATAGACCAGATTTAATATATCTATACTCTCCTACGAGGCTTATTGGAAGACTGACATTTTATGTAATCAAGCCATCTAAAGATGATTCTCTCTATAATCTTATATGCTACTAGAACTACTCCAACCTTTTTGCGCATATACTCATTTTGCATTTGGTCTCTTAAGTATAAAACTACTCATCCACTTAAGCATCCTCATCTTAGCAACATTTAAAATAATTTTATACATCTCTTTTAAAGGCCAACATTCTATGTCATAAAGCATTGCAAGTTTCACCACTATCTAATAATATTTATTATATTAACACTAACAACGAGCAAGAAAAAAATTGATCTTTAAAATTTTTCAATGGACCACCTAAATAATTTAATCACAAAGCTTTGAGATCACATATAGAAAAATAATAGATCAAGATTTTCTGCATAAAATGAGAATCCAAATGCCTTAAATTTCATTAAATTCAATCACACTTTGCAACCAAATAATAAATCGAGGATACAACTAAAATGAAAAGAAGAGAGAGAAGAATCCAAAAATCCTGAGGAATTGGAAGAAGAAGAGTTTACATCCAGGAGGAAAAAAAAATCCTCAATTGAACGGCACACAGTGTGTTCTCTTATCGTGTATAACATGATATGTAAAGTGGCCGAAAACATCAAGAAATAAAATACGTGGATTACATCAGATTTTTAAATCCCGATTTTGGCTGGAATGTAAGCCAAAATGACTTGAAACATATATATGGCAAATCCATCATAAGGTATATATGGCAGATCCGGTACAATCCCAAGACAAAGATCAGATCACTAAGAATAAGGTATGGGATTTATTTGAGTACCTTATGCTAGGTCTGTCATAAGGTATAGCATAGTTATAATCAATTGATAAAAAAAACCTACACAGAAAACAGTTAACCAATACATCGAATATAATATCTATTATAGGATAGAAAAAAAAATGAACCTCAAGATGAAGATAAATGTAAGGTATTTCCGCTGCAACAATATCTGAAACTCAACAACAACCCTAGAGAAATATATAAAGGACTCAACTAAAAATGAACTTTTTTCCGCTACACATCTTCTAGATTGTTCTCCACCAAAAATTTATTTTCTGTTGGCATCCCATCTCTGTTGAGTGGACATCAAATCATTCTCCATCAACCACACTCTAACCACAAATTCAAATAAATCTCTAATACAAAATGAAACTAAGGGATGCCTCAAACTAACTCTCAAGACCCGCAAAGAGTAGTAACACTTCTCTTTAACACTACTAACTAGCTGGGCAACATATATGGAAAGGGCTGTAAACTCCGTCTTGTACTACATCATTGTCTACTGGCCTATCCACCATCAAATTTCTTTATCTACTGGCCTATGTTCTGTCTCTCCATGTAACATAAACACAATTAATAGATCCTTTCTTCATTTAATACATCACATACTATCAAAAGATATTGTTAGACCGGTCCATTCGATTGGTCCAGGTGGTCCAGGTGGAACCGGCCCAGGCACGAACAAGGCGGAACATCTCTGCCTCATGCGTTGGCCGCACGTACCGCAAGTTCACGGGAGCTCATTTAGGAAAGTTTTTGAATGAATTTTAGGAGAGAAATTGAATGTAGGGATTGTTTAGGGATTTTTCCTTTTGATTTGTACGTATGCATTTTTTTTTTATTTTAACCAGCATTAGAATTTGGCTGAAATTTGAGATCTCTTTGATTTCTTTTGGGCTCTAACGGCATATGGATTTGGACAGAATGATCCTCCTCTCGAATAGAAGATCAATTATATCTTGCTATTTTCCGTTTCTATTTCATCAAATAATATAAATTTATAATGTTTTCCTAGTTTTGTTTGGATTTTTGCGGAGAATTCTCCATGTTTTCTAAAGATTGATAGGAAATACTTGAAATCCACAACTGTTTCCTATAAAATTGGTATTAGAGTAAGTCTTAGGACCATTCTGGGGCTAATTTGGGCAAATTCTGTCGGCTGATTTTTGGCCGAAAAGGAGAAAGTTGTTGTTTTTGTAATCCAAATCCAAAATTTTTTGGATCTACAAAAATCTGAATCGAGATGGCGGCCAAGAAAGTAAATACGCTTGAAGAAAGGCTTGAAGGGGAGATGAATCAAATCAAGACGACAATTGGGGAAAGGATTTCCTCCATGGAAGAACAAGTAGCCAATCTCTGAGACATGATGAAGAAAATGTTGGAAATCCACAACCAAATGGCGGCTTCCGTGGCAAAAGGGGTGAAAGGGAAAAGCATGAATTCTAAAATTCGTAGGGTGGAAGATGAGGAAATCGTGGAGGGAGAAAGAAGAAAACCCTATTTAGAGCCTTTCCAGAGGAAGGATAGAGGAGGTAGGTATGGGAAAAGGGATGGGTATGGAGGGGCAGAGAAAAAGGGTGCTGATTGCGAAAGTCGATAGGGACATTATGGTCGCTAAGGTACTGATTTTGAAGGAAGAAGGGGGGAATTCAAAGGAGGTTTGGGCTATGGAAAGGCAAGGGAAGACTCAGAGATATGGGGTGGGCCGAGCACTTGGGAGAGAGGAGGCTATGGAAGAATAAGGGGGAATAGTGGAGATTAGAATGTGAGTAAGCTGAAGATGCCCATATTTGAAGGGGATGATGTGTACGGGTGGATTTATAAGGGGGAGAGATACTTCGCCGTCAATGGGCTGACGGAAGAGGAGAAGATAATAGCGCTAGGCTTGTGCTTGGAAGGGAAGGCGCTGTCATGGTACAAATGGAGAAACCAGAGGAGACCTATCAAGAGTTGGAGAGAATTCAAGGATGCATAATAGAACATTTCCAAATAGGCCGGGGAGGAGATTTCTATGAGCAGTTCTTTATTCTGGTGCATGATGGATTAGTAACAGACTACCCAGAGCGGTTCGAGCACCTGGCTAGTAGAGTGGAGCGATTATTATATATTATATTGGAGGGGAACTTTATGAAGGGGTTGAAGGAAGAGGTCCAAGCGGAAGCAAAAATTCTGATGCCTAGTGACTTGGGGGAGGCCATGAAGTTGGCACAACATTTGAAAAATAAAAAGAATCTAGAGAAGGGAGCCAAGTGCAGCAGCTCAGCAAGCTCTTATAAGATGACGACCACCCTTCTAGCACCTAAGGGGCCTGCATCAAGCAACATTAATGAGACCACTAGGGAGAAGCCAGTAGGAGGAGGGAGTGGGGAAAATTTCAAGAGGCTAACAGAGAAGGAAATGCAGGAGAAGAGGGCAAAGGGGGTGTGTTTCAGGTACGAGGAGAAGTATATGCCAGGACATCAGGGTAAGGATCGAACTCTTAAGATTCTCACTGTTTGTGATAACGAGGAAACTGATGAGGGAAGTGAGGGGGAGTTAGAGGAAGAGATGGAGGAGAAGTAGCATTTGTATCTGACCGAGGTTTCCTTGAACTTAGTGGTAGGATTCACTATGAATCATAACATGAAGGTGAAGGGGGATATAGAGGGAAGAGAGGTGGTAGTGCTAATTGATAATGGGGCTACCCAAAATTTCATTTCCACTCAAGTCGTCGACTAATTGGGAGTGAAATTGGTGGACACCAGTTGTTATGGGGTGATGATGGGTATAGGGAAGGTGGAAAAAGGCCAGGGACTTATAGAGGAGTGGTGTTGACCATCCAGGGGATTCAAGTAACGGAGGACTTTCTCCCACTAGAGTTAAGAAGTACTGATGTCATCTTGGAGATAAAGTGCTTGCAAACCTTGCGGGATGCCAAGGATAACTAAGGAGCACTCACGATGGAATTAATGGTGGATGGGAGAATGGTGGTTATAAAGGGGAGATGCAAGGTTATCCAAAGTCATGGTATCACATAAGACCATGGTTAGGGGACTACAAGAGGTGGGGGAAGCTTATCTGTTGGGATTACACAAGCTAGATGTGATCAATACCCCTCGCACGTCTTCGCCATCGTTAAAAGGGGGACTGAGGGGATGAAGCCCGGCTCTCGCTCTCTCTCTCTCTCTTGACCTCTCTGCTTGCTCCTTTCTGCTCTACCCCCAAGTGCTCTTCGATCCTTTGTGGTCGTCCGACTCCTCTCCTTCTATGACTTCCCCTTCCAGTTGGATCGGAAGCTACAACATTCGATCGGAAGCAACGAAGGGAGCTCGCTCTTTTGCGAAGTAAAGGTGACTTTCTCTATGTTGCAAGATTCTTCAGCGCCTTCGTTGTTGTCTGACTTCGCCCCACGACGTTGCCTCCCTGTTGTGTTGAAAGTTATAGCATTTTGACCTAAAGAAATGAAGGGTTCTCCGCACGCTGTGAAGACAACTTTCTCCCCTTTGGCGGCATCCTCGTTGCGGTCCAACTTCACCCATCAGACGGCATCCCTTCCTATGGGATCGAAAGTTACACATTTTAATCGGAAACAAGGAAGGTAGCTCCCTTGCTGTAATGGTAACTTTCTCCCCTACATGGGCTTCTTCAGCCAAATCATGTAAATCCTATGGCCGAACAATCCCTTGGGGCAAAAAATGGGCAAATTATTAGGTGAGGTGACCGAAGCCATCTCTGCGTTCGGTCGCCAATAGAAATGCGACATCTGTAAGGCATTTTTTTAATTTAATATGTTTGCTTTATGTTTTGTCAGAGTTAGCGACCCGACCCGATAACGCAGAGAAGAAATGGACTTCTCAGCGAAGAGGGAGGTGGAAGAGGGCATGGAAGAGGGAGTGCATGAATCGGAAAGGATGTATGAATCGGAAGGGCTGGTGTATGAATTGGGATCGGAACCTAACTTAGCCGAAAATTCCTCTGGTTTGAACATATCGGTAAGTTTCTTGGAAAAACGAGTTAGAAAGTTGTAAACAGTCAGTTTTAATATTATCGCCGTAGAAAGAAGACGTAGGTTTCAGCTCATTAGTCTTAGGATCTTTGATTTTGCGATTTTTAAGCAGAATAAATTTCTTTTGTCGAAAAAGTAAAAAAAATCTAATGTTGTTGTTGGTTAGTTTTGATTATTGATTTTAGGATAAAGATGATAAATAAAAAAACTGAACTTGTTGCGCTTTAGTTGCGCTTTAGTTGTGCTTTACTTTCTCTTTACTTGCTCTTTCAGGCTGTTTATAAAGATGAGACAGAAGCATATGAATGTTTTTGCACTTATGCTCATGATAATGGTTTTAGTGTCCGAAAGGATCATCACAGTTTTTGGCCAAATTCTAGAAAGATAAAATCGAAGGACTTTGTTTGTTCAAAAGCTGGTTTCAAGAAAAGTGATGATCATAATTCAGGAAAGAGAAAGAGATTCACTAGACCAGTTGTCAGAACTGGTTGTCCAGCCATGGTGAGGTTTGTCACAGATGAAGATGGTTACTGGCATGTCAAAAGATTTATTGAATCCCACAACCATGAATTAGCTAGCCCAGCCGATCGACACCTTTTAAGATCATGTAGGAATATCAGAATAATGGAAAACAGTTCAACTGTGTAGTATCACAATATGTTATTCTGCTCAGCCTGCATTACAGGATCTTGTCGGTACATTAGGTCCTAATTTTGTAGGGCAAAAATCGTGCATTGGTTTGGATTTACATCATGAAAATTTTGGGATGCAAAAAAAAAATAGTATTCTTTTGTTAGATATGCCTTCAAACACAGTAGGGAAAGAAGAGGGACAGATAAATAAAGCATCGCTGAGCTTGCTTGTCGCTTTTGGGTGTGTTCGAGAAAAATAGGAGAGAAGAATGAAGACCTACCCAGCGTAATCAAAAAATGTAAATACATGCGAGACCTGTAAGAAGTGTTGTTATTAAAACAGACACAGCATTCACCGCATTGTTGTCAAGAACTTCCATTCCTGAAATTCTGATTACAGTAGGTGTTTTTCTTCCAACCACCTTCAAAGAACAAGAAACAAGTTTCAGCTATCACAAATGAGAATATAAAAGAGCTTTTATTACCGCTTTTCTTTGCAAGCATAGCAATCACTTTCTTTCAAGCAACCTAACACAACCGATTCAGCCTAGAAGATGGGTCATCACTTTAAAATGCTGTCTTCAAAAACTTTCTTAATTTCTTTCCTTTGCTTAATTGATGAACTAGTTCGTTGATTGATGGAAAATCTCAAATTCACAAAAATAGAATAATACTGTTAAAAAGGATAGATTGAAAATGGTATAATTACTTTCTTCCGCAAAGTGCAAAATCCACTAAATTGGAGCGTTGCACCCAATATAGAATCAATTAGGCTTCCGCAAAGCCCAGCAATTGCAGCAATAGGAACTGCAAGAAGCTCTCTCCGCACAACATGAGTACCACATGAAACTGAGAGCCAACCGACCATTACAAAAGTCGATCCTATAACTAAGCCAGCTGCGGCAGCTGCTAGAAGGCCTTCTACAGAAACTGCGCCATTGGTGCCCTTTCGAACTTTCTGATCATGTAAAATATAGATGATTAGTGTTCATTCTTCTTATTACCGTTCTACCAAATACACAAAATACAAAATGAATTACTGGAATGCAAACAATTTGACAGATTACATCTGAAAAGAGATCAGTAGATTCAGGTGGAATTAACATCAAGATAATTTGCAGAAATATGTTCTCCCTCACTAATTAACATGGAAGGTACAACGATAAGGACTGGAGAAAATATATAATGGCTAGCTGTTAAAAAGAAGTGCAAACTAGAGATAAAGCAAAAAACACTCAACAGCAATGAGAGTAAGGATCCATCCAGCTAATTCTTACGGGATGATAGACATTTTCCCTTACTAAAAGCTACTCTGACATGAGCTTTTGATGATTATTTATATGTCAAAGCCCATGCTTTGAATTTTTACTTTTTTTTTTTAAGAGATGAAATATGTCCCATATACTTTATAAAGGAGCACATCAACTATAAAATTTAAAAAAGAATCAAAAAGGGACAAACCCTTGATACAAGGGCCAAAAAAATATAATCCCATGATATTTTTTCTAAAAAATGAACAAATGTGCTATAGTAGGGATTGAACCTATGATCTCATGGGTGGGTGTTGGTATATGAACAAATAAGCCAAAGCCTAGTTCGTATGCTTCATATTTTCATGTGATATAAGATGTATCGAAGGCTAAGTCTTTTTAATGAGTCGTAATGCAATGAAATGAGATGCATTTTAAATATAGATATGTTTTGCAACTTTTTATGCATATTCTAACGAATATGCATTACTATTACACCCAACAGGAGAAAAAAAAATGCATGAAATATTTATAACAAAACCAACTATTATAGATAATTATTTTATTAACAATAATGAGCAATAGCAGCAGCATCAACAACAACAAGCCTTTATCCCACTACATAGGGTTGGTTATATGAATCTTTTCTCCATTGTGTCCTATTAAGAGTCAAATTCTCATTTGAATCTAATAAAACTAAGACCATTTTTAATACTTTCTTACAAAGTCCATTTAGATCTATTTCGACATTTTTTAATATAGACCAGATTTAATATATCTATACTCTCCTACGAGGCTTATTGGAAGACTGGAATTTTATGTAATCAAACCATCTAAAGATGATTCTCTCTAATCTTATATGCTACTAGAACTACTCCAACCTTTTTGTGCATATACTCATTTTGCATTTGGTCTCTTAAGTATAAAACTACTCATCCACTTAAGCATCCTCATCTTAGCAACATTTAAAATAATTTTATGCATCTCTTTTAATGGCCAACATTCTATGCCATAAAGCGTTGCAGGTTTCACCACTATCTAATAAGATTTATTATATTAACACTAACAACGAGCAAGAAAAAAATTGATCTTTAAAATTTGTCAATGGACCACCTAAATAATTTAATCACAAAGTTTTGAGATCACATAAAGAAAAATAATAGATCAAGATTTTTTGCATAAAATGAGAATCCAAATGCCTTAGATTTCATTAAATTCAATCACACTTTGCAACCAATTAATAAATCGAGGATACAACTAAAATGAAAAGAAGAGAGAGAAGAATCCAAAAATCCTGAGAGAATTGGAAGAAGAAGAGTTTACATCCAGGAGGAAAAAAAAATCCTCAATTGAACGGCACACAGCGTGTTCTCTTCTCGTGTATAACATGATATGTAAAGTGGCCGAAAACATCAAGAAATAAAATACGTGGATTACATCAGATTTTCAAATCCCGATTTTGGCTGGAATGTAAGCCAAAATGACTTGAAACGTATATATGGAAAATCCATCATAAGGTATATATGGAAGATCCCGTACAATCCCAAGACAAAGATCAGATCACTAAGCATAAGGTATGGGATTTATTTAAGTACCTTATGCTAGGTCTGTCATAAGGTATGGCATAGTTACAATCAATTGATAGAAAAACCCTACACAGAAAACAGTTAACCAATACATCAAATATAATATTTATTATTATAGGATAGAAAAAAAATGAATCTCAAGATGAAGATAAATGTAAGGTATTTCCGCTGCAACAAGATCTGAAACTCAACAACAACCCTAGAGAAATATATAAAGGACTCAACTAAAAAATTGGGCATAAAACAAATTTTGCTTCAAGACAAAAATAACATGAAGAAACAAAATAATGCTTTACTCGACTAACATATGCATAATCAGTTTCAAGGGGTACAAATCGAAGAAACCTTCATTTATTCATAATCAAGTGATTAGTAGTATATACTCATGAATGCTTTCAAAGGTGTCTCATAAATAGCTACCAGGTCTTGATGAGGGTACTCTCTCTTAATAGGGGTTCCTTAAAAAAACTTGTTTGGGAACTACAAAGGGACTCGCTCAAAGGGACCGATGTGCTCAACTCACCCGAGCCTACTGTGAAGTTTTCCCTACAATATATGAACTAGGGCTCCACGTCAAATCACCATGCGCCACTACCTCTCTCACTGGCTATACCACAAATAATCCTGACTCGCCCAAGTCAGCTATAAGAAGCATCTACTTAGAAGACACACTGTTCAACCACAACCATCCGACTTAAAGCTCTTTCATTTCAATATCTCGATCTCCTTCCCCCTTAAGGATACATAAGATCTTCTACACAAGTCATTTCTCATGCACGATCATTTGCTAGGGTTCACTCGTAGACTCACCTATATCGTAGTCGATCCAGAGAGCTTGCTTGTTAACTTCACCCTCCTCCAGCCTATCCGGAGGTGACACATGCTAGACTAGGCATGGGCTCCGAATATTCACACCCCGGCCTCCCCTGCTTTTAGGAGAGTTTTAGTGAATTAAGTTTTGGGATAAATTTTCAAAAGACAAATTGGGTTTGAAATAAAACACTACCTAAAGATTTCGCCCTCATTTTGCGAGGACTCTAGATCTGAGTTATGGTTTCCTATAGGCGCAAGCCTCTATAGTTCACCTCCCAATAATGAGAGAGAACTTTTGATTAAGGCTAGTCGTCAAACATATACGTATAGATACGTGGTCTTTGGTGTATAGTAGCAACATGGGTTGAAATTTGAAATTTTAATATTTAAAATTAAAAATTTCACCATCTAGTACTTAAGAGGATGATGGAGGGAATGATGATGAACCCGATCAAGATCCCATGGTTCCATCGTCCCAGGTCATCATGTTCATTGGTCTACTTAATCAGAGGTAGTCGACCATCCTAGGATCACTACTTTCAAAAATGAACTTTTTTCGCTACACATCTTCTAGATTGTTCTCCACCAAAAATTTATTTTCTATTGGCATCCCATCTCTGTTGAGTGGACATCAAATCATTCTCCATCAACCACACTCTAACCACAAATTCAAAGAAATCTCTAATACGAAATGAAACTAAGGGATGCCTCAAACTAACTCTCAAGATCGACAAAGAGTAGTAACACTTCTCTTTAAGACTACTAACTAGCTGGGCAACATATATGGCAAGGGCTGTAAACTCCATCTTGTACTACATCACTAACTACTGGCCTATCCACCATCAAATTTCTTTATCTACTGGCCTATCTTCTGTCTCTCCATGTAACATAAACACAATTAATAGATCCTTTCTTCATTTAAGACATCACATACTATCAAAAGATTTTATTAGACCGGTCCATTGGATCGGTCCAGCCGGTCCACGTGGGACCGGCACAGGCACGAACAAGGCGGAACAACTCTACCTCTTGCGTTGGCCGCACGCACCGCAAGTTCACGGGAGCTCATTTAGGAAAGTTTTTGAATGAATTTTAGGAGGGAAATTGAATGTAGGGATTGTTTAGGGATTTTTCCTTCTGATTTGTATGCATTTTTTTTATTTTAAGCGGCAATAGAATTTGGCTGAAATTTGAGATCTCTTTGATTTCTTTTGGGCTCTAACGGCATATGGATTGGGATAGATTGATCCTCCTCTCGAATAGAGGATCAATTATATCTTGCTATTTTCCGTTTCTATTTCATCAAATAATATAAATTTATACTGTTTTCGTAGTTTTGTGTGGATTTTTGCGGAGAATTCTCCCTGTTTTCTGAAGATTGATAGGAAATACTTGAAATCCACAAGTATTTCCTATCAAATTGGTATTAGAGCAAGTCTTAGGACCATTCTGGGGCTAATTTGGGCAAATTCTGGCAGCTGATTTTTGGCCAGAAAGGAGAAAGTTGTTGTTTTTGTAATCCAAATCCAAAATTTTTGGATCTACAAAAATCTGAATCGAGATGGCGGCAAAGAAGGTAAATGCGCTTGAAGAAAGGCTTGAAGGGGAGATGAATCAAATCAAGACGACGGTGGAGGAAAGGATTTCCTCCATGGAAGAATAAATAGCCAATCTTCGGGACATGATGAAGAAAATGTTGGAAATCCACAATCAAATGGTGGCTTCCGTGGCAAAAGGGGTGGAAGGGAAAAGCATGAATTCTAAAATTCGTAGGGAGGAAGATGAGGAAATCGTGGAGGGAGAAAGAAGAAAACCCTATTTAGAGCCTTTCCATAGGAAGGATAGAGGAGGTAGGTATGGGGAAAGGGATGGGTATGGAGGGGCAGAGAAAAAGGGTGCTGATTCGGAAAGTCGATAGGGACATTATGATCGCCAAGGTACTGATTTTGAAGGAAGAAGAGGTGAATTCAAAGGAGGTTTGGGCTATGGCAAGGCAAGGGAAGACTGGGAGATATGGGGTGGGCCGAGCACTTGCGAGAGAGAAGGCTATGGAAGGATAAGGGGGAAAGGTGGAGATTAGAATGTGAGTAAGCTGAAGATGGCCATATTTGAAGGGGATGATGTGTACGGGTGGATTTATAAGGTGGAGAGGTACTTCGCCATCAATGGGCTGACGGAAGAGGAGAAGCTAACAGCGCTAGGCTTATGCTTGGAAGGGAAGGCGCTGTCATGGTACAAATGGAGAGACCAGAGGAGACCTATCAAAAGTTCTGATGCCTAGTGACTTGGGGGAGGCCATGAAGTTGGCACAACAGGCGAAAAATCAAAAGAATCTAGAG